CAGCTGAATAAAATGTTATTGCACGTGGCCTATGTGTAGTGAAATACAAAGATGACAAAGACACAGTTCTTACCTTCCAGGAGCTTATAAACATCAAAGGGATGAGATTTGTTCTCTAGTAAGTCAAGGAAGACCCCAAAAGTCAAATGAAAAGTACAAGAATAGGGCTGTGGGATTTATGGAGAAAGGATATCAAGTGACACTAGAATCTATTTTCTCCTCTGTAAAATGAGGGGAGTGGCCCAGATGAGTTTTAAATCCTTTCTAATTCAAAATTCTGATTCCTTAATGTATTCAGATGAAGTCGACAGAAAACGTTGTCAAGAAACTAGCATCCGAGCTGGCCCTTGGATGGGTAAGAGTGGGAAATGCAGCTGCTGAAAGAGATAGGAGGAAAAGCATTTCAAGCACAAAAGAGTCTATAAGCACAGGCCCAGAAAGCACAGGCGTGCTCGTGGAGCACAAAGTCTTCAGTGCAGACAGAATACAACAGGAGGCAAAACTGGAAATGGAGACCAGAATTTTGAATGTCAAGTAAAGGAATTTGAATTTTTTTCTTTCTTTCTTTTTTTATTATTATTATTTTTTTAAACAGAGTCTGACTCTATTTCCCAGGCCGGAGTGCGGTGGTGTGATCATGGCACATTGCAGCCTCGAACTCCCTGGCTCAGCTGATCTTCCTGTCTCAGCCTCCTCAGTAGCTGGCTACAGGCACAGGCCACCACCATGCCCAGCTAATTTTGTACTTTTTGTAGAGACGGGGTTTTGTCATGTTGCCCAGGATGGCCTTGAACTCCTAGGCTCAAGTGATCTCCCCGCCTCTGCCTCCCAAAGTGTGAGGACTGCAGGTGTGGGCCACCATGCCTGGCCTTGGATTTCATTTGGTGGTCAGAGCTAACGTGGTGTCTGAAGAGGCAGACACTACGACCAAACACAGACTAGGACAGCTAAGCAGCAGAGTGCAGCTGGAGGGCTTGAGGCCACCGGTCCCTCTGCAGGACCCCTCTGCAGGTCCCATTTACACAGGCCTCATCTACCGAAGAAACCATGCTTCATGTAATACAGAAAAGACGAGGGAACAAGACCTCGACAGACAAGGCGAGGGAACGAGAACTGAAAACCATGCAAGAGTCCAGAAAACAGGAACACTTCTAGGAACCCAATGTGTCTACACACAAATTCTGAAGATGACAAGAAGGCCAACTACTCACAAATAGGCCAAAGGAAACTGGCTATCACATGGAAAGTGACTATGAAGTGGAAAAAAAAGTGATATAATGTAGCAAAAACAGACAGATGGGAAAACTACAGATGTAAAAGAAAGAGACTCCTAACATCTGTAAACGACTAGCAGAGGAAACAGACTTATCGGAGATCTGGAAATCTCAGCACAGGATTACCCTCCTCCCACTCCAAATCTGGGCAGCAGGATGGACATTTGTAGAAATTAGCTGTCCTAAAAAATGTCCAAGAGGAGAAAGCACAGCACTGAAGTGACTGCAAAGGTGCAGTCCTGACCTGAGTTAGTGCTGAGAAGGGAGGACAGGACGTCCTCCCTTAGGCGAGAGAGGACGGCTAGAAAGGCACGCTCAGCACTTCCATTCAGACAGCCGTTCTGAAATACAACGCCTCAACAGAAGAGCAGAATCGAATGGAAAGGGAAATGGTTCACAGGTAGCATCTGGCCCCTCAAGTATTAAAGAGTATCTCCCGCCACACACACTTTTCCCTATTCCCTCCAACAGCCTCCTCAACCAGATCCAATAGACTTCCAAAACTTTTTTTTGTTTTTTGAGACAGTCTCACCCCTGTCGTCCGGGCTGGAGTGCAGTGGTGCGATCTCGGCTCACTGCCACCTCTGGCTCCCAGGTTCAAGTGACTCATGCCCCAGCCTCCTGAGTAGCCCGGATTACAGGCGCACACCACCACACCCAGCTAATTTTTGTATTTTTAGTAGAGACAGGGTTTCGCCATGTTGGCCAGGCTGATCTCAAACTCCTGGCCTCAAGTGATCCACCTGCTTCAGCCTCCCAAAGTGCTGGGATTACAGGAGTGAGCCACTGTGCCCAACCAACTTGTAAAATTTTGAAATGAATCTTGAGCTACCTGCCTGCTGGCAAAGTGAGGTGCGAGGAAATCGTAACTCTGTCAGGTTACCATCGTTTGCAGTTCCACGAGTAGTATCAAAACCCCAACAACTTAGCTGACCAATGCAGCAACCTCCTTTAGCCACAACCCACAAAACAAGAGAGGGCACAAGAGATACCCAGCACTAAGGAGAAAGACAAGGAAGCTCCCGTGTTCTCGTCTGGCCTCGAGTGAGCGGTGCCACAGTACACAGGCCTGGTCCAACGGACACTGAGTGACAGCACGTGGCTGCTCTGGGCGCCTGCCCTGCCCTGTGCTGCCATGTATGAAACGGATCAACTGGAAAGCGCTCTGCGGGAATTGCGAGAAGGCACGTCGATGTTTTGGTCATCTGGTTGTCGGGAGAAACTGGGGGAGCACAGGTAATAGGAAGGAATAAGTTACTTACTTGCCGTCCATCCTGCCCCACGTTCGTCTGGCCTCTTACAACAGTTCGAATATTGTCATCCAGTCTCCTAGCAAAACAGTTCAAGGATACAGTCATTCAAATACTCTTTATTCTAGGCTGACCAAAGGAAAAAAATAAAAGAGTAATGTATCCATCAACTTCTGCAGACTGCACCTAAACGTCCCAAAAACCAAACATGTGTGAGTGACATCAGGAAGGAGGAGGGCAGCCACAGCCGTGTGGGAGGCCAAGCCCAGCGCAGACTGACGCATCGCCTTGTTGTTAGAAATGGCTGTTTTCACTTCACAGTCAGAGCTGTCTGAAAAGACTAATAAAACTTGCAGGATTTTTCATGGTGTAAATCAGGAATGACAAAGTTCCTAAACCTTTATGTGAACACGCCAGAGAACTCAAATTACCTCACACACAATCCCTTTCTCAGTCCCCTTATGAGGCAGAAAGAGCCAGGGCGATAGACAGAATCAGTGCTTCCCACTCCAGGCCCTGATCATGCAATCTATGTCTGAGGCAGATCGACGGCTTCCAGCTCCTCTGCCCCCACAGTTCACAATGTTTCATCATGGGTCACCACTGAACCCACCAGCAGATCTGTTAGCTGTTATGTGACCAAAGGACACACATGTAAGCTCATCTTCATGTCTAAGCCTTGGGAATACAAAAACAGGTAAATCCATAAAAACAGGGAAATAAAGCCATTAAAAAGCCAGTAGAAGGACAGACAGAATGGCTTACACCTGTAATCCCAGCACTTTGGGAGGTGGAGGTGGATGGATCACTTGAGGCCAGGTGTTCAAGACCAGCCTGGCCAACACAGTGAAACACTGTCTCTACTACAAATACAAAAACTAGCTGGGCATAGTGGTGCATGCCTGTAATTCCAGCTACTTGGGTGGCTGAGGCTTACGAATTGCTTGAACCCGAGAGGCAGAGATTACAGTGAGCCAAAATCACACCACTGTACTCTAGCCTGGGTGACAGAGCCAGACTCCATCTCAAAAAAAAAAAAAAAAAATCTAGTAGATGTGGGAGACAGAGGCAGGCAGATCGCTTGAGCTCAGGAGTTCGAGAACAGCCTAGCCAACAAGGCGAAACCCCATCTCTACAAAAAATACAAAAATTAGTGAAGTGCGGTGGTGTGCACCTATAGTCCCAGCTACTTGGGAGGCTGAGGTGGGAGGATCGCTTGAGCCCAGGAGTTCAAGGCTGCAGTGAGCTGTAACTGTACCACTGCACTCCAGCCTGGGGCACAGAGTAAGACTTTGTTTCAAAAAATAAAAATAAACTGAAAAAAAGAAAAAAAAAATCTATCAGAAAAGCTTTTGCCTCCTTCTATAATTACAAAAGCTCTTTTGAATAGACTCTGTCACAGCTTCCTTCCTTTTGTATGAATAATTGAAGACTGGCCAAGAGTTGAGTTCCTTGCCACAAAGTTCATACGGATAAAAGAATTGTATGACCAGGTGTAGTGGCTCCAGCCTGTAATCCCAGCACTTTGGGAGGCCAAGGCCAGTGGATCACTTGAGGTCAGGAGTTCAAGACCAGCCTGACCAACATGGTTAAACCCCGTCTCTACTAAAAATACAAAATTTGCCAGGCATGTAATCCCAGCTACTCGGGAGGCTGAGGCAGGACAATGACTTGAACCCGGGAGGTGGAAGTTGCAGTGAGCCAAGATCGCACCACTGCATTCCAGCCTGGGCAATGAGCAAAAATCCGTCTCAAAAATAAATAAATAAATAAATGAAAATTTTAAAAAGGAACTATATTACCATCTATGGCAAACTTGAGATTCCAGTGCTCTCACAGAAAAATGTGATCCACAATGTGATTAACTAAATTAACAACATACTTTTCATTAATGATGAACAATCACACAATGTTACTTACCTTATTTTCAGCCTAATTTTGTTCACGACTTCGTCTATGTTCGCCAGAGACTACAATAAAGAAGAAAGAGTGCCCAGCTGTTAGTCCACTTCCTGGAATTCCTCTTTCCCAGGGAAATGATGTGCTCTAACAGCTACTTATGAAAGCTCAAAAACTTTAATCACGTGGTATGAGCTTTGCTTTAAAAAAGTAAAGCAGTAGTTGGAAGGTACTGGCAAATCTAGCCCAGCCCCTGTTTTTTGTCAATAAAGTTTTATTGGAACACAGCCGCGCCCATTCACGTGCGTCCTGCCTCCGGCTGCTCTTGAGCGACAGTGGCGTTAGGCAGTTGTGAAAGACACTGTAGAGCCGCAAAGCCTAGAATATTCACTACCTGGACCTTTGTAGAAAAGTTTGCTGACCCGGGGTATATGTGATTGTGACAAATTCAAGTAACAAAATACAGCAACGAAAATGAATGAACACACACCACCATGGATAAACATTACTAACGGAACGGGGCACAAAAAAAGCCGGACGCAAGAGGACATAGGATACGATTTCACTAACACAATTCTCCTGTGTTAGAAGCCAGGACTGTGGTTATCTCTGGGGGAAGGTAGTGACAGTGAAGATGCAAGGAAAGGCCTTCTGAAGTTTTTTTAAATGGTTTATTTCTTGATATGGGTGGCGGTGACATGGCTATGTTTATTTTGTGAAAATTCATCAAGTTGTACCCTTAAGATGTGTGTACTCCTCTGTATTATGTTATACTTTAATAAATACACAAATTTATTTTTTAGTATATAGATTCATTAGAAAAAAGTCTGGAAGGATAAATAGGAGTAGTTGTAATCTATTAGTAGTTCCAGCATTCGTAGCTATAATCTATCAACTATGTATTACAATACGAAAAGAAGGGATTTCAAATTTTGCTTCTTGGGCTGGGTGCAGTGGCTCATGCCTGTAATCCCAGCACTTTGGGAGGCTGAGGTGGGCAGATCACCTGAGGTCAGGAGTTTGAGACCAGCCTGACCAACATGGCGAAACCCCATCTGTACTGAAAATACAAAAATTAGCCAGGCATGGTGGTGGGCACCTATAATCCCGGCTATTCGGGAGACTTAGGCAGGAGAATCACTTGAACCCGGGAGGCAGAGGTTCCAGTGAGCTGAGATCTTGCCACTGCACTCCAGCCTGGGGGACAGAGGGAAACTGTGCCTCAAAATTGTACAAGGTCTGTTTGTACATTTGTATCTTTATCATATTCTGAGGGATCTGGATTTCTGCCTTCCCCAAACTCCGCCTTCTCTTCACCTTAGTTTGTCCGTA